GTCTCCAACCTCTCGGCTGAGAGCGAGACTCCCCCCTCGAGCGCCCTAAAGCGCCCCGGATCCGAGCTCCTCACATCCTGAGGGGCTCGTTCGGGTCTCCGCTCGCGCGGATTCCCTCCTCCACCGCGGGCGGGCGAGACGCCCCTCGGGAGCGACCCAAGGATGCGTCTGCCTTTCGCGGGAGCCAGACCGGAAGCCCTAATCTTTTCGGAAGCCCCAATATGGCAGCTTCTTCTTGAACTAATTTAGCACTCCAGTGTTAATAGAGGGGAAAAAGAGGTGTCTCATTCAAGAATTACCACTCCATGCACTTTGTGTGTTACTGCTCTAGATTTTCAGTACAATCTAACCAATCTTGGCTATACAAATTCTAGCAACAATCAGCATTTGAAGACCCATCCATCTGGAAGTGGCTTTGCACGCTATCTAGCTCATACCTCAACAACAAACTATAATCACACAGCAAAGGTACAAATCACTGAGAGAAGCTAGGTTTATGTGGAAAATAGCTATTTACTAGTCCTTACACACACAACCACATACCCAGAGAAATGCCCCTTTCTATGGTCAACTTCCTGCCAACGCTGACCCTTGCAACTTCTGCCTGAGTTTATGCAAATGTAGAGAATATTTATACCGTTAAAATGCCCTCTAGATTCAAGGTTCTACTAGTTTCTTTTAACACTAATTCACAAAGGAACAAGGGAGGAGAAGACTACATGATTTATATGTTACTGATACAATAGTCTGGGTCTTCAACTAGCAAAGACACCTAAAAGGTATCCAAGTACTCAGCACAAAATGTATTTTCAAATTAGTAACCTTTGAAGCTACGAACTACTGCTATGATGAGCGATATTAACAAGGCATCAGGGTTTTCTGCAACCTCTCATATGACACCAAAATGTGGTGATTAATCTACTTGAGACAGATGCAATACACACATCCTTATTTAAAGTGACGCACCACCTATTAAAGGCACACCATATACAAGCAATTAACAATGAACAGTAACTCACCTGAAAGTTTTAAGATGCTTGCAGTTCACAATGTCAGGAATATCTATTGGAAATACAACGAAATCCAACTAGATTAGCCATATATAAATTATCAGTTTTATATTAGACACTTATGACTACAATGTAGGAAAGTTAAACAAGTATAAAGCCAACAGTCGTGATAGTCTGACCCATAATCAAACAGTCATAAGACTTATAAAGAATGCTGTTTATGTATTGCAATCTAAAGCACTACAACATGATGCACAACTCAATAGAAAATCCTTGAACCAAGGTACATAATCAAGGTCGTCTCCGGATTACATAACGTTTCAAAAAATGGATCTTCTTCAGGAGATATTATAGTGGTGCCAAAGCTCTCAGTTTCATAAATGTTAGACAACAAGTCTTAAGAATATTAAATTCAGATAGGACGCTGATCTCAATACAAAATATGAGCTTGAATGCTCATTGAATGCCTTCAGCAGTGTTCCCCAAGTCACTGGTAATGTGGAAGACTGGATTTTAACTTGGGGTGGTGGCACAACAAAGAGGAACATATTTTACATGAACACAAGCATGCAACACATAGGTCCAGGACAGGTTTATAACAGCCAGGAGCTAAAATCAGATTAGGACCTTGAACTATTCTTCAGTGCTCATAATTCCAGAAAGCAAGGAATAAACAGGCTTTTTAACCCCTACCTGAATTCTTAATCAATGAGCATCATATCCATAAAAGTGAAAATAAGAATTGCCCTATTTCATTAAAATCTGTCAAGTTTAGCTTTCCATCAACTTGAAGAAAAATAGAATGATAGTCATCCTCCATTTTGTTCCCAGGAATTGGAACCTAGGGACAGTATATGGATATTCCATATAGCTTTCAAGGCTAACAGAGATCTAGCATCTATGACTTTGTTCAATGCTTTCTAGCTGTCATTCATGTTAGGGTTCCATGGGTCAATTATGCATGATAGAGTATTGTCTTTTGTCAGGTCTCAACCTATTGCTAAGCAAGTGCAGTGCGTGGAGAGGGATGGTCAACTGCCACCACCACCTGACCTTTGTAGGGATTGCTCACTGGGGGGGTCAGGACTCCCAGTTTCCCTTTCCATGTTCTGAGGTCTTGCCTCTGAGTCTCCTGCTAGCCAGAGTCTGGTTACCATGGGGACAGCTTACTACCTTGTGAACCATGAGGGAAGTAGCCACTTGCCCACTGCCTGCCCTCCCCTTCTTCCTTGCACTCCTTTCAAAATAACATGTTCAAGACAGTGGAGGTCTATGTGGCACAGAGAACCACTACCAAGACCAAAAGTTATAAAGCATTTATTAAAAAGAAAACATTCACAAGCATACTCTTAGCACAGTGCACAACTGAGCAAGGGATTCAAAAGAAAAGGATAAAACTCAATTCCTCTGTCCCTCCCTCTATACATGCCCTACCTGATGTTAAATATAAGGTAGGCTCCTTAGCTTAAAAAGATACAAATTTTTACAGGAGTAAAAGCCTCTTTCAGGTGTGCAGGCCAGCACATGGCAATGGCCGCCTCCTCTAGACTTCAGTTAAGAGTTCTGTCTGCTTCAAGGGAATCAGCATAAAAGAGATATTTCTCCTTGCTCCCAGGAGTTTTATCTCCTCTCTTTCCCCCCCACTGACCAGTTCAGGCCAGGACAAAGAATTTTTTTCTAAAATCTCTAGAAGTTTCTTCCTGAAGTCTTTCTAGTCTTAATTCCTCCAAATCTCTGGTCCCTGCTTGGGGGGGAGGGGGGCTGGACCATCCCATTATCTCTAGCCATACTTATTAGCATTTCTTAAGAGGTAGCTGGGGTGAGGGTGGAAAGCTATTGAACTGACTTCCCCCTTCCTGCCTGTTCTCTGCCCAGAGGGAAAAACCTTTTAGAACTCCTGGTGAAAGTTTTACTCAGTTCAATCTCCACCAAAAAAAATGCATTCTTTCACACCATCTCTTAATATTGAGAGAGAATTTTTGGTCAGAGATGGACCTTCTATATTGAGACACCTCCCAAAAACGCCCCGATGTATTTAACCTCACGCAATAATGTGTTATCATGAAGAGGCATTAAGATATTAGATGTATTCAATTCTAAGAAGTTTTTGTAGGGCTTTCTGAAAAGGTAAAGCTGTGAGAACACCAGAGAAAGCTCAGAGGCTGGCTGGGAAGAAGTTGCATAATGCCATGGGAATGAGATGGAGAGAGTTAACGATGTGCCAATTGAGTTAAAGATATGAGTAAGCAAGCATTGGCAGAGAGCTGCTGTGTCCACCAAGCCATCTGTAGTAGGCCTGTAAAACATTCAATAATTAAAGGATAAGAATTGGTTTACTACGTATATATTACTGTAAATGTTTAAACGCTTTCCAATGCTTGGAAACCTGGCAAAGGTTTACTTGTGCATTTCAGAATCATCTGTGCCTTCAGAACATGTGTTTTCTAATGTTGGCTTTACTTAAGTCATCTGCACACCAGACTGACACTGGAGAAAATTAATGTTAGCTTTTCTTAACTAAAATCAGTAGCATGTCTGTAGGATACATAGCCTGTGAGCTTGTTAATGTTTAAATGATACAATGATAAAATGATAGATTAAATGGCTGCTTCGTTAAACAAAATTTACACCCCCAGGTTGTGCAATCCTGATGTCTCAGAAACCTAAGCTAACCAGGACAAAGTTCCATAACTATAGTTTCAGAGGGCAGCCATGTTGGTCTGCAGTAGAACAGCTAGATCTGAGTCCAGTACCACCTTAGAGACCAACAAGATTTTGGGGGTATGAGCTTTTGAGAGTCAAAGCTCCTTTTGTGAGAGGGACAAAAGCTCATACCCTCGCCAAACAAAAGCTCATACCTTCCCCAAACATTTACCAGACTTTCATCCGGTTCAGCTGTTTGGGCCATTTAAACCTAACAGCTGAGCAGCACAGGTCCATCAGTCAGCTGTTAGGTTTAAATGGCTGTGAGCCATTAAACCCATCAGTTTTGCACCCCCTGCTTCCAAGTGGGGGGGGGAAGCGAAATGGACCGGTGAAATGGCTCACAGCCATTTCAGCCTGATGGGTGCACCTGTCCCACTGTTAGGCTGAAATGGGTGCCTGGAAGCAGGGGGGGAGTGAAACGGATGGGTGTAACGGCTCACAGCTATTTAAACCTAGCAGTGGGGGGTCCACCCATCAGTAGTTAGGTTTAAATGGCTAGCAGCCATTAAAACCATGCGTTTCGCTCCCCCCCAGCAGCTGGTTCAGCACAGTTTTGGCTCAGTTTGGGAGCTGCACTGAACCGAAATTTTTAGGTTTGTGCCCATCCCTAATGCTGAGTATGGCAAAAAACAACACACAGACAGCAGGCTGCCAAACTATTCTGACAAACCAAGTCAAGTGATAGAAGTGGAGACAGAAGGCCCATATCTGAGACAACACAAGGAAAGTGATGAGCTTTTGGGAGCAATCCTAATCAAATATACTAGAAATAAATCCATTTTATTCAATGGGGCGAACTCCCAGGAAAGCATTCTTAGGCTTGTAGCTGGTATCTCCTCTGAAACAAGAATGGGTCTTAAAGAAAACAAAACTGAAGAAAACTACATCCACACCTCCATACCCATCTCTGAACTGGGGTGCCACTTTATGATCAAGATGAAGGCTGAAAATGTTCAGAGCAGGCTGGGACTAAGGAGTTGGAGGGGTAAGTGATCCGAATTTCTTTTGTTTATGTAATGGAAGAGTAGACAGTTCTTGGATCCTCTGAAAGATAATTATGAAAGCTGCTTCACAGAGTGTGTGAACAATTCTTTATCAAGAATAGACAGGAGGGCCTATTTCAAGGCTTAAATACTAAAACATTATAGGCCTAATGGCATATTACCATATAACCATCTGCTACTATTACTGGAGTTTATTTTAAAATATTTCTAATTACTTTGCTTACAGGGCATCAAGTTTATTTTGCAAATATATCTTAACTAGGAAAAAGGCCCGTTGTGGGAATAAATACAACGGCCTCTAGAAAGAGGCTCTGGGCGGGTGCCCTGGCCTTGGACACTCAGTATCAATTTGCTGTGGCGACCTCAGCAGGGTATAATGACACTGTCCACCATTTTCTCCAGAGGAACTGATCTCTGCTACCTAAAGAACAGTTGTCATTTTGAGTTAGCTCCAGCCCTCACCTGGAGATTGGCAATGATGGTTCCCCAGAAGGGAATAGTTGGTTTGGAGGGTGAAGTCTATGGCTTTGTACCTGTCCGAGGTCCCACGCCTCCTGAAACCTCACTCTCTCCAGGCTCCATCCCTCACATCTCCAGGAATTTCCCAACTGGAGTTGGCAACCCTATCTCCTTCCCAGCCAATCATCAACCTACCTTTATTTCCCCCTCACTCTTTAGCTTTCCACCCCCCACACACCTGCAGCCTCTCCCGTGCTCTGAAGCCCTGACTGCTACATCACATTGGTTGTCATATGGGGGCCACCTCAACAGCATATAAGGATACAGAGCCCACCATTTTCTCCAGGGGAACTGATCTCTGCCATCTGGAAAGCAGTTGTAATTCTGAGTGATCTCCAGCCCTCACCTGGAGATTGGACACATTTTACCTCAGAACAGCAAAACTGTTTAGAATGTTAGAGGCAAAAGCCAATCAAGTCGCATATGCAAACGACCTCTGTGTTCTGAGGCAGAGGCCAATGAGGCTGCATATGCAAATAACCTCTGTGTTCTGACTGGCTATGGGGAGGAGAGGATTAGCAAAATGTTTAGAATGTTGGAGGCAGGCAAAGCAGCCAGTGGACAGGGACACCCTCTGAATGACAGATCAGAGAGCGAACTGATTTTGGAGCGTGTGGAATATTCTAGAGAAGTGCCACCACCATTCGGCTTTTATTTATAAGGGAGATTGCTGTAAGTACATCCTGCTGTGCTGCAGGTCTTAAAAGTTCTTTTGTCTTTTTTATTCTCTCTTTTCCCTTAATTCTCTAATAAACCACTAAATTTGTTTCAGCCAAGTCACTGAGTCTGTGTGTTCCTTATCAGCACTCCATCTGAGGCAATT